GCAAATCTTTATACACTGTGTTCAGTGCATTCTAAAGTACTGTGGCAGAAATAAAATTAGAACTGTCTGGGATATGGGTTTCTGATTATATATGCTAAATACTAAACAAAGTACAAAACATACTTAAATTTTCTGACACCTGTGATAAATGTTTAGACTTAAATCAAACCTCTTTATCCTAAATTCACTCTGCTGTCTCTTCTTTTTAGAACATGTAGTACTGGAGGCACTAGATTTAGGTTCTGCACTGTTTGAGTGCAACTGCAGCATTATAAAAGGACAAGAAGCAGAACACTATGATTTTTCCCTCCATGTGTATGCGTGCATGCACATACTTGCAATTCTTAGGTGAGGAAGGCTAGATTCTATATTCTGATGTATACGTATACTTCAGTAGGGAAAAATGAAATGTTCCCTGATACACATCACAATATGCTGCCATTTTGCAACTAATTTTTTTGGACTTTGTCATTTTAAGAAAATACAAAATGTTGGGATTGTGAACTCTAGGTTGATTATCCTTTTCAGAGATTTATTGTGAGCAGCTTTTTGGTTGAAAGGTGTTTGAAAGGTGAACCATATTTTCATTTGACAGAGAGCAAAGTGATGAAGTAAAAATACCTATTAAAATTAATGTTGCAAGATGACCGTTTCAATTTCTGTATTATCCCTTTGGTTTTCATTTGGAAAATTTCATAAAATGGATACTTTGGTATCACTGTCCATTTTAAGTGCAGTTTTCTTTGAACACCCTTTCTGATGTGAATTTGAAGTTTTTTAACAGCATACTTCATTCTGTAATGCTGAACATCATGTTGCAGCCAGTAAGCATTAGATCTAGTATTTGTAGTTTGCAAGTGTGTTGGTCTTAAATGCATTTCCAACATACTCCTGCTAGCTTTAACGTAATTAAAGTCATCAATATAGTGAGAAAAAAAAAAAAGACGTTTTCGACAAAGTATTTATTTGCACTACTTATGAATACTGGAGTTTACTGGGACAGGGTTTTTTCTCACCGTGTGAGGTTTACTTGTGTGTGAGTAGGTGCATACATTTGTCACGTGTTGACAATCAATTGCCTCAACTGTGTGTATACTGTATGTAAATAGGAACGTATTTTTCAAGATTAAGGGGGAAACCTGCATCTTACTGGTGGTAAAGCTACTCTGCAGTAAGGTGACCCCAACTCTGCTTTTTGTCTTCAGATACTATGTGGTTTGTTTTACTTCTTTAATGAAGTTTATTAGTGTTCTTGGAAAATTGTAGCTCCAGGGAAATTTTCCTCAATATTTAATGTATAACACGTTCAGAGAATTATATTTTGAAAAATTAATTTTGGAATAGATAATTCTATGCTATGGCTGTATTTTAACCTAAGAGTTTGAACTTGTCCTATTTTATCATGAACCAATGGCTATCTCCTCTAAGTGTTCAGCATTTTAACTTTGGTCACAAACCAGACATTTTTGTTTATCTTGGCTTACAAATTTAAATTCATTTGAAGACTAAGAGAGAATCAAGAATAACTTTTTGAATAAAATCATAAAAACCAAGCTGTACAGTGTAGGTACTATGCTCATAATCCTAGAGGAGGTGAGGAAAATACAATGGAATATGTTTGAATGAAACATATGTACTGCACACAAAAAAAATTACTTTGATGTTAGTAGATCTAATAATCTCATCCTTAAATTCTCTCACTGCCAAAGGTATTGCGACCTTGGCATGTTTAATATAACATTAAAGCCATCAGCTAGGTGTCATTTGTAACAAGCATTTATATCATAGGAATAGTTTTCATCAGAAGAGTAAATGTACCTCTTTTATTTCAGTTTCTTGTTTAGGATAATTGCAGGACTAAAGTTGCAAAATATCACTCCTTTTCAAGCATGCTAAGCAAACAAGTCAGATCCTCTGTACTTGCATCACATTCTGGATTTATATAATTTTTTATATTTTATATTCAATATTTTAAATGCTATTTGTTTCTAGCATATGGGCCTTAATCTGTTAATTATTTTTGTTTTTTCCTCACTGGCACTTGGATAAACTTTGCTGTTGAAAGGTTTTCTGTAGGTGATTCAGGGTAGTAAATACACCCATAAATGGGTGTTATGTTAGTGAATACATGTATCAGTCTGTTAAAATTTCTGTCATGACCAGCTGAAGAGACAAAATACTTGCCTGCCTCTTGCACAGTGGTGGAAGATGATGGTGAGCTGTGAGCAACTTGGTTTGTTCCTGAAAACAATAAGTAGATTTTGCAAGACTGATACTTACAAGGTTTTTCCACATAGTCATTATGAAATTTTATTTAAAATAAATATTGGAACAAGATTTTAAAACAACTGCCAACCATTTTAGATAAACTTGCCTGGTAGGTTTGTCAGTTGTCAAGGCCTGTGATATTAAAAGTTTAGAAGAAAGCTGTGCAAGTTTCAAGGGTACCTTACAGCTTCAGAAAAGGATTAAGTAAAAATCTCTCCCATTTTAATCATCTGTATTTGAGATTTAATGAAAAAAATACCATTTTGCTTCTATGCTTTTACTTATTTTTCTCTATGCTATACCTCTCCCTGTTTGTTTTGTTTTTTTTTTTTTAAACTGTGTTGATCAGATTTTACCAAAGGTAGTATCTGAGGGACCAACTGAATTAAAAAATGGCTCCATGTATTATCCCTTCTATCATAAAGGATTCCTAAGGTTTTCCTGTGAGGAGCTTGGTGGGAACAGATGTATGTTAAAGCTTTGTATCCATGCAGTAATGTACATTGCCCTACATTTTAGCTTGTGCATGACGAGCAGAGTGATGAGATCAACTTTTATTGAGCAGCCCCTTGGGTGTGAGCTCGGGGTGTTTTATAGTCTATAAGATTTAAGGGGTTTTAGAGAAGACTGTCTTTGCATTCTGATACAACTTTTTAATGAGCGATTAATAATCTATTCAGGAGTCAAAATTTAAATTGCTTTAAAATGTGGTTTGGAATTCTCACAGGTTTTGATTTTCGAGGGTAAAATGGTCAGGGGGAGATTTCTGTTTAGAAGTATCTGCTGGTAAAGTGTCTCTATGGTGCTTTGTCATGGAAACTTCCTCACAAATCAGTAGTGAATCCTATGTGTTTGAGTCCTCATCCTCCCCAGAACTGCTCACGAAACAGAAAAAGTAGAGCAACCTTTTACCTTTAGTTCTAAAACAAGTACTTGGGAGTAACAGAAATACTGGCTATTGACACTGTTCTTTCTGTTTAGACAGTTACTGTGGTTGTGCTAGAATTTCATGTTATTAGTTTATGAAAAATGCAAGTAGTAAAAACTTTGTGGCTTCAAGTATACAGTAGATGTGAGTTAACAATCACTCAGGATAAATCAACATGTCAAAATATTAATAGATTCCTAGTACTGGGGTGTGTGGTGTGTGTGTGTGTGTGTCAGTGTTCAATGATTACTTCTGTTTTCTTGCACATAGTACATTCTTTAGGGGTGGATATTAGCTGGTTATTTATGGACAAATACCATATTATTAAATAAAACAGTCATTTAACACTTTTTTCATATTGAAGATTCCAGGAAAAAGCTAATAAAGATTTTTAATAATCAGCTACTCTTAATACATTTTAGATTTACTATGGTAGCTTTTATTTGCTATTAGAAGACCCCAACAACTAAATTGATAAATACCCCATGCTGCATTTTTTAAATTTGTAATTCCTGTACTTGACAATGAGTTTTTTGATCTGTTTTTGTCCCTGTTAGAATACAGGACTTGCTCTCGGTTTTACTAGCAAAAAGAAACATTCTGCAAGGGTTAAAAGATTATTTTCTTACTTTTTTCGTCATACCAGGTTTGTTTCTCTGAACTAAGGTTTCTGAGGATTTTTACTACTTTAGCATTATTTAATCTCATAGAAGGAGCATAAGCAGCACGTGGCCCACTTCTTGTGGGCACACAGGCTAGGCAAAGGACATGGCTTGGTGGTGTGAGCCCCTCTTGACCAGCATCGCCCTGCTCGCTGGTGTGAGCCCCAGACGTTCGAGATTCGGTACTGGTGAAGGACTAAATCAAACAGGTTTTTAATAACCGTGACCTCTGCTGTATGATGTCCTTTAACCTGGGGACCAGGGAAAGTCTTCATTCTTAGTCCTGAAGAAGGCACGTATTGAAGATCGTGTTATTGGTGCATGTAAGCCATTATCTTAACTGTCTTACTGAGCTGGTTCATGCTGTTGATTTGTTGAAATGTGAAATGTAGTTACTATTGACTTTGTAAATACCTGCCAGAGAAGAAATATAATTATTTTAAATCATTGTAAATAGAGATGTATAAAACTCGACACAATCTGCAATGCAGAAAAAATTATATATATATATAAATATATAAAGATGTTAAATAAATATCGTGCTGTTTCTGAACAGAAATGAATGCTTTGTGAATTGCCGGTTTTTGAAGGTGCGCTTCGGGCTGCTGCGGGCGGTGAGGGCAGTTCTCCCCGGGAGCCGTGAGGGGATCTGCCGGGGCGGCGCTCTTCCGGCACGGGGCTCGCGCCGGCTTCGCGTCGCCACAGCGACCCCGGGCACGAGCCCGGGGGGCGCGCGCGCGCCCGGCGGCGGAAGTCCCGCCCTGCGGCCGAGGCGGGCTGGGAGCCGGGCGCGGGTTGGCCGTCGCACGGGTCACTCAAGGCGCGGCTCCCGGGTTGGCTGCCTCGGGGACGGCCGCTGGCTGGCACGTGAGCCCGGTTCCGCCTCCTGCTGCCGCCGTCTCTGCCGGGGGCGCGGGGAGCGGGTGGAACCCCGGCCCCGCAGGAGCGGCGCCGTGAGGGGTGAGGCGGGGCCGGTCCGCGCTCCCCCGGCCACAGCGCCCCCCGGCGGCGGGGCCGCGCCCACGTGACGAGAGTCGCCATGAGCCGGCCTGAGGGAATGCGCGGCAGCCGCCGCTCTCTGCAGGTGAAGTTCGTGCCCGACGAGGACGTCGTCAAGCACATCTCCGACGACTCAGGTACAGCCCAGCCCAGCGCCGCCCGCTCCTCCCTGGGCGCTGGGAGAGGGGTCCGAGCAGCCGCGGGGGCCCGCGGGAAAGGGGCTCTGCAACACCCGAGCTGGGTTCTGCAGAGCCTCGCAGAAGGACGAGGCCTCTGGAGTCGTTCTGCTCCGCTTGACTCCCCCCTCAGAGCGTCTCTGTCCCTGCCCGGCGCTGGACAGGCTGCCGGCGGGGCGTGTACGCGCTCTCGGTAGGAGCTCCCCCCGCAGCAGCGGTGCCGGGGCGCTCCTGGGGCCTGGCGCGGTTAAACGCTCGCACCGTCAGAGCGGAACGAGGCTGCACAGGCGTATGCCGTAGGAGTGCTTTGCAGCAGCTCTGACTACGTTTAAGCCGGGGAACCTCTGTGGAGATGCTTAAAACTTGCCAGTACAAGGCACGGAGCATCTTTTTCAGACTTCAGTGCTGGTCCTGCTTTGAGCAGAAGGTCATGCAGATGATCTCCAGAGGGCTTTCAGCCTACATTCTCCCATGAATGTACTGACAGCCTACAGACAAGGTATTTTCCAATTGCTCCTCTTCTCTAGGAAAAAATAACGGTTGGCAAGTACCATCCCCTTTGCGTGCAATTTGATACTGTAATGCATGAGCCACTGTCATTTCTCCTATTCCTGTCTGTGGAGCTGGTGTTTGCTGAAATGGGTGTCTTGCAGGAGCCAGCGTGCGTGGTGAAGGAGGGATGAATGGCTATAGGGTCAGCTATTGACCAGCTGTTCCCTTAGCAGGACATCTCAGCGTTGAATTTGTTGAGTGATTTGCTAACAGGAGCCTGTTCTCTAAGTTGGGTGGCTGTGTACTACTGCAGTAGAAATAATGAAATAGCAGGAGGTTAAAGCTTTTATTGCAATTCTAGGAACTAAAGTACGGAAGGACAAGGCTCAGCTGAGTGTCAGTGTCAAGAGATTTGTGAAGAAGCTTGAGAATATTTTTGATAATGAAGCTCAGGAGATCCTGGAAGAGAAGAACTATGTTGCTGCTCTTGGAATATGTGCCCAAGGTATTAGCAGGGGAAAACCTAACACAGCTCTGACTTCAGGAGATTCTTTCAGTGTTGGTGAAATTGCTTTTGAGGGCAATCTGCTCTGTCTTGTGCTTGTGGTAAGAGGTAGAAGAGAAGATTATGATTCTAGGATTTTATTATTATATTTGTTTTGTATCACCTGCAGTATAAAACCAAACAGTGAAATGTTGCATTCCATCTTTCTTGGGTTGGGAATTTTATCAGTGCTTTTAAAATAGCTGCAAGTAACATGTCTTTTCACAGATCCAGTGGGAAATGGCTCAAATATAAGTGGTGGTGATGTTTACTCATTCCAGACTCCCAAACGCTCCAATAAAATGGCAGAGTTGGGTATGTTTTGCTCTTCTTTCTCTGCAGATTTAACAGAAGCAAGCAGAAAGTGGCAGTTCCAGAGAGGGTGGACTGTTTCTGTTCAAATAAGGTGCTTGAGTGTGGTTGTCACTCACATGAAGAATCCCTGTATGTCCAGCACCAGCTGAACTTCATTAGTGTTTATTTGTCACAGCTAATGATACATCCTACAAAGGATGAGCTGAGGGAGAGGGATCATCCTGCTGAATCACTATACAGAAACTGGTTTTGGTGCCTCTTAGTTTCTGCTGTGTCTTGGGAAGTTGTATTTCCTATCTTAGACCTCCTTCTGCAGCGGGGTGGATTTCACTGGTGCTCCCTGTTGGAGCTGTGACTCAGTTTGAAAACAGAGGGAAGTCATACATGATGGTCTGTTAGTCCCAGTGCTGTTACATGGAATAGGATGTTGGTCATACAAAGGTAGGGACTGTTAGCAGGGTATTTCAGATTCACATCAGTCATTCAACTTCAGCTTGTACTGATAACGAGTAGACACAGGTAAATAGTTCTTCCTGGGGAATTGATGTGTTTGCTTTATCTGATGATCTGTTATGTCCAGCAGAGCAGTCTTAAAGGACTATGTGAGCCTGACCAAACCTTGCTCTAATTCAAAGACATGTGGTCTTCCAGGGAGTAAAACGTTCTCTGCCATTGACCATATTTGTTAACTTAATTAATTGATGAGTTCAGCCTTTAAAAATCTTTGCTGAGGAAGACAACCACCTTTAGGCTTAGAAAAAATCTAAAAGTATTTGGTTCCTGAAATAGATAGGGGATTAATACGTAGAGAGCATTTCAGGTGTATGGCTCCATTTCTAGCCAGAGCTGGAAGTTTTGTACCTGACATGTCCTTCCTTCCTTCCTTTCCCTCTACTTCCTGCAGCCTCTGAATTAGCCCAGACCCCAGAACAGAAAGTGACACCTGATCACTCCAAGTGCTCTGAGAAGATGGCCAAAACCCCTCAAAACAACAGTAAGTCCTGTGATGGTTTGGGGAACTGAAGCTGAGTGAGTGGGGGTTATGTTTCTCTTTGGGTGGTGGACTGGATGCTTGAGTTCCAGCTTCTCTCATGCTTGAGTATTCTAGTTAACACCAGGGCTTAAGTATTCAGGTTAACACCATGGGCTGAACAGTTTGATGTGCTTGACCTGTGCTTCACCTGGGTGTCAGATCTCTTCTTCTGCCCTGCTGTTCTAGAGGAAACATGAACATCTCTCTCATCTATTGTTGTGACATTTAATGACTTCCTTTCTGTTCAATAGAAATACTTGAACTTGAGAGAGTTATGAGCTGGGCTGGTGTGTTAAACACTGATTGGGTAGGACAGTGTGGGTGTTCATGTGTAAATTCACATTTTATTATATAATATTTAACACCTAGTGCTCCAGGGAGAAATACAGGTGGGAGAAGTCAATGCATGTCAACACTGGCAAGAGGGTGTGCATTTGTGCTTGGAGATGTAGTCTGATGTGCTCAGGGAGAGAACATTAGTTCATTTTTCAGCCTCATCCCTCCCTGCTGGGGTCTCTTCCTCCTTCCTGGCCTCCCAAATCAGACCGAGAATTAGAAGCTGCCTTCTGTAGTAATAACGTTGACTCTTGTGTGTCCTGACACAGGCAGGCTTCTGGAGCTACCACAAACTCACAGCCAGAATGCAAAGAGTAAATTTATTTCTATTCTCTTTCTGAAGCAGCACCTGGGCAGAGGGACATGAGTGGAGATGCAGTGTGGTTCAGTGCTAGAACCAGCCTGCTGTTCACACTGGTCTGTCAGTGGTTTTGCACATGCATGGTTTATCCCCATGCTGTGATCTTCACTGTATTCTCATCTGTCGGTTAGGGTGCCTCCAGGCCTACCAAACACCTACGTTATCTATACACAGATGTTCTACTTTCCAAAGCACACACAGGGTAAACAGCGATAGACGTGGTATATCTGTTTTTCTGCATTGCTATTTGAGTCTTTGCTATCCCCAGCTGCATGGTCACTTGAGCGTATTTACAATTCTCATTGCCAGTCTTCCACTTCTAACCCATTCCTTCCAGCAACTCTCTTTGTTCTCTCCTTGTCTGCCTGTGAGGAACTAGAGGCTTCCCTCATAGGATTAACTGTCCAGGGAGCTGATATTCTGGTGCAGTGTACCTTTGAACAGTGAGCGCCTGTTTTTCTAATGGACCATCATGTGCCAGTGTTGAAAATTTGCAGTACTCTGTACAATGCTGTTTCTTCCTTTTCAGAACATTCAAGTTCAAACAAAGTGCAGCAGAGGGTGAGTAATGACTTTACATTGCTTGGATTTTGTATTTGGGTTTTTATCCCCATTCCTAAAACTTGAACTAGCCAATTACTACAGTTCTGGAAAGGAAGGACCTTGAAAAGCATACTCCACAGTAGAGATGTCTCTTCTGTTCTAACCAGACAGGAGTAACTCAAATGAGAACCATTAATCAGGACTATGGGGTTTGGAGTCAGTGGGCAAATAATAGGTTTGACAGCTTAATTATTGCATTAATGACAACTTAATTGTTAGCATCCTCACTTGCATCACACAAGTGAGGATGCTAGATAATCCCTTAATGCACAGTTAAACTCACGGCTTTCCAGTTTCTCACTAAAGGAACAAACAGCCCTGATTGCAAGAAATGCTGTTAGAACAGGAGTTCCAGAACTGTGATGCTGTTCAGTTTCTTACTTACCAGCTGGTTTATAAAGAAGAGAGACAGTGCAGAACTGCCAGTTGTGGTAGCTATGGAGTGAAAGAGCTGGCTTTCTAAAATAGTACAGCAGCATAGCAGAAATGTGTGCTCAGTTTTTCTGGTATGAGGTTCCAGGATGAGATACACCTGAAAAAGGCGTGCTGTTTGGGGATGCCATAGTCACTGCTTGATGATTTCACATCCACTTTGTCAGGATCAACAAAAGTATTTCCTAAGTATTGCAGACTTGATCCAGTGTCAAAGTCAGGCATGTGCTTTAAACATATGTAAGGAAAATGTGACACTACAACTTGGTGAGCCCAGGCAGCTTGGATTCCTTTGCTGTACTTCTGGGCTTAGTATGCTGAGTGGTCTTCTGTCATTCTGGTCGTTGTTTTCATAGAGGACTTCCAGATGACTTTGAGTAGACAGCATGATGTGGAAGGTGACTGCTGTGGGGACTGAAGCATTTTCAGTTTGTCATTGCTTTGGTTTGGCTGTTCCTGAGGGGCCAAGGTTGGCATCTTGGTTGGAGATTTCAGTTTTCTACTCTCCATGTTGAGCTGAAAGAATTAAGCCCATTTTGGAACTTGATCCTATCTCCCTCTGAATGGGAAAACAAGAAGTCTCCATACTTAACTGCCTCTGCTTTTCCAGTTTAATATGGGCTGAAATAGTTTGGAAATGTAACCTATCTTTGCTTGGGAGAGGGTAGTTTAGAGCAGAAAGATGTTTCTTTTAATGCATGTTTTTTCTTTGCTGTTCCAGAGTAAAAAGAAAGAATTTGTGTCCACTACACCTTACAGACTCAGAAAGAGACTAGCAGGTAAAGATCAGCCTTTGTCAGCTGCCACAATCAGAGAGGCACTGTGTTCAAGGGAGAGTGTTTTCCTGTTGAGCTTCTGTTTGTGGTAGCAGTGTGAATGAAACAACCTGATTTATCCTGCAGAGAGTGTAGAAATGTCCTTAAGGAAATCCATGTAGACCTTTGCTCTACAACTGATTGCTATTAAGGTGAGGGGTGGAAGGGTTAGAAGCACCAAGTTACTGAACTTCAGTAACATGATCAAAGAGACAAAACTTTTGGTAGTCTTACCTATACTGACCTTTAGTGTGGCCCAATTGCTTGAACCAGGCATAAAACTTTTGGGTGATGGCTGGGGCGTTCATGTCAGAGTATTTCCAGTAACTGGTTGGCTAAACCAGAATGAGTGCAGAGGAGAGTTGAGTACATGGTGTTTCATCTTCTGTTGCTTTTGTGTTGAGAGACCAAGACTTAGCCAGATTTCATCTGTGCTCTTCAATCAGTGCTGCTAACAGAGGTATTTTACAACAATTTGTTTGCAGAATGTGACATAGAAGATACTCAGCCTGCACGATTGGCGTTTGGAAAAACTGACATAGAGATGCTAAGAGAAATAGGGAATTCCATTGTCCATTTTTAGTCTCTATGGTACAATGGTGTTTCTTGGTTGGTATCAAGGAGGAGGCTTTACTTAACAATACTTTGTGATCCTAGAACTGCAAAAGAAATGGCCATCTGTGTTTGCAGTTCTCTTAAGCATTGGTTTTACCTTTCTCTGAAATATACTTAGGATTCATGTGCTTGAAAACATCTAGAGAATGTGTGTGAGATGGTGCAAAAAGAATTCTGTGTAAGAAGTCATTCCTAGCTTTTAACCTTAAAATTTATGCTCTAGCTCCAGATCCCTATTTAGAAAGTGAGAGTGAGTATTCTGCTTCCTGCTCAGAGGAGGAGGATGAGGATGAAGAGAAGGAAGTCAGCACTGTTTTATCAGATCAAAAGACTCCGGCAAAAACTAAGGCTGCATCTACACCTCCTCTCAGAAACAGCCTAGCCAAAAAAAATAAGGAGCAAAAGATGGTGAGTGTGCAAAAATATACCTCTGAGCTAGCAAACATGAAAGGATGTATGGTGACAGTAAACTGTTAGTGACCTCACCTGACGTGGGGAGGAACTGCTAGACTCATTTCAGATCAAACCAGCTGGGCTGGCTTTTGCTGTACTTCTGAGTAATCCTTGGTGGACAGGCGCCGTGTGAACCTGTGTGCTAACTCTGTTGGCATCATTAGCAGCTTCAGAAGGAGATAAGATGTCCATGGAGCAGGAGACCTTGTATTGATTGAGCCAGGATGAAGAAATTGATTCCTGTAGTTCCAAAAGGAGTACGCATTACTGTTCTGGCTTGGTGTTCAGCTTAATTGTCTTAGTTGGTTCCAGCAAGAGGGATCCCCACACCAATTAAGAATTACTGTTATGTTATCTCTCTCAGAATATCTTTTCTGGCTCTCCAGAAAAGGATCATTGACTAGGTTAGCTTTGGCAGAATGCTGCTATAGAAGCCATTTTTGCAAATATTTTCTGTCTTTCTGTATTCACCCTTGCCCTATGTCTCATTGGCCATCTTAGGGAGAGGGGCAACTTGATAACAGGAGGAGTGTTACTGATCTTGCTGTCCTTTTATAGGGCAACCTGGTGGAGGAATACTTTGAAGCTCACAGTAGTTCCAAAGTGCTCACTTCAGACCGAACACTGCAGAAGTTGCGGAAAAAAAGATTGAATCAGGTACTGTTCACAGTGAATCACACAACTCTGGGTTTTTGATTTCTATGATATAGTTTCCTCATCAAAATCTCTAATGTTGCTGTTTTCACTTTATTTCTACTGGTTACATGGTCAGTGGTAATGCTGATTTAGGTAGCAATTTAAGCAGTATATTTTCTACTGCTGCTCTTAGCAGGGTCTATGCCCAGTTGCTTGAACCTGAGGCCGTAGGAAAAATGCAGGGAGAAGGCACTGTCAGGTGAGCTCACAGCTGAAAGCTGCAGTTATCAGAAAAGGTGAAAATTTGCTTTTGGGGAAGAAGAGGGAGAAGCAGAATTGTAGAGACTTGCATTAAAACATCATTTTTGTCAATGAAATGGTAGGACGAATTAAAAACTGTCTTGACTGTTCATGTGTAGTGGAAATCAAGAGAGCTGATTTCATCTGAACATTACTAGGTCACTTGCAGAACTGGAACTAGCTCTAAATGTTGTCATGTAGTTTGTTAGATGTGCTTTGTTCCCTTGCAGTTTCTAGGAGACAGGAATAGTCTGATGGTGGTGACTGAATTACAAATCAAGCAGTTGTACTCTACAAGGACAGGTCTCAGGGAATTGTGTAGAGTACCTGGAGCTCTTGTGTCTGTGACTGCTTTTTGTATCCCTTTGTGTTTTAAAGATGGCATATATGCAGACTGCCTGCTGTTGTCTAGAATTGCTGCCCAGAGTAACATCTGGATTTTTAACAAATTCTTTTGTAACAGCTGTCGGAGGAAATCACAGCTTACAGTGTTAAAGCTACTGCAGTCTTCAAAGTAGTTGAAGGTTTAGCAGTTCTGTCTCTCAGTGTTTTATTTGTCTGATACATTGCAGCTGCCTTTCCAGTGTCAACTGTCTTCTACTGCAAGGGAGTGGGAAGCAAAGCTGTTAAAATTGAAGAGAAAGAGAGGCCAGTGTAGATTTGATGCTGACTATCATGCTACTGTGCTGTTTAAACATCAGCATCACAGCATATCTTGAAAGCTGAATTAATCCTTTGATTCTTGATGCTTTTCTACATTGAGCTATCAGCTGCAAATTAAATCCTTTCTGCTGTAGGGTTTTTGTTTTTTTTTTTTTTTTAAGATGGTGGGCATTTTGAGCTTTCTCTTGTAGTGACAAACACCTGAACCCTTGCTAAGCATGTTGATTGGAGCCTTTGTTCCCATGATCAGGGATGTGATGTTGTATCTTGTTGGTACAGTGCTTGGTGATGTGTAAGCTGCGGGTGTATCTGTTTTTCCTGTAGTGGTTTTTCCATACTTGGCATGAAGAGAAAAATACACAGTGTGTCATCTGTTCTAGTCCTAGTCTAGCTGCTGTTTACCATAATAAGGTTACTTAATCTCTGCTTTGTGTCTCCAGTAGCAAAACTCTGCCTAGTGGGGTCTTAAGGGGGGAAAAAAAACTAACCACAAACTGAGTGCACTGACAGTGAAAACTATTCTCTCCAGATAAGGGAGCATGCTAGAGGGTGTTTTAAGGATGTCAGGTGTATCTCTTGCTTCTTCTCAACTTTGAATGACTGTCATCTCTTTTTCAACACAGCAAACACTGCATAATCTTTTGAAAAATGCTCCCCTTGCCTATGCTGCTGAAATCAGAGACCTTAACCAGCAACATGAATCCTTGTTTTCCAAGTGGATGCTGCAATTACAGTAAGTATCCAAGGAGAATCACTGAAGAAGCTTAGTTAAAAGGCACTGCCAGTACATTTGCCCTCATGTCAGTAACATCCTGTGGATGAATTAAGGAGAAAATTTTTCTTTGATTGCTTAAATTTACAAGTGGGTGACATTAATTCAGTCTATCTGATTAGCTCCTTGAACCAAATGTCTGAAGTGCAGTGAGGTTGCATTCTGCCTGGTTAGTTTGCCTGTGCCTCTCTAAACCAAGCTAGAGGGCATTCACAAACAGGGAACATGAATAGTGAGAGAACAGGGAAAATGAATTATCAGAAAAGTGCTCTTTGTGAGGAATCATTTTTGTTTTCAGCAGTGAGTTAGTAGTGAGTAGCCCACCCTCACCATCTTCAGTCTGTGACTATCTCCAGTGGTGTAGCAGTTAACTTTCAGCGCCTGTGGTACCTAATGATCTGGGCATGAAAAACCCTAATGCTTTTGGAAACACTGGAAATACAAATTTTATTTGGCTTTGTGTGTATCTTCATGGGAAGGAGAAGGGTGAACATACAGGAAAGCAAATGGAACTATAGAGATCCTGTGCTCTGAAGCACCTTAAAGAAGGCAGACCAACACCACTGAGGCTGGAGCCTATACTGGTGATGAGAAAGCCTCTTGGAAGCTTTTACAAGGATATAAGGAAATTTGTGATCCATGGGGAGGACAGAGAGTATGAAGAAGACATCAGCTTTGAAAGTTGGAGAGTTGCAAGAGGAGGAGTTCTGTTACTTGGTGATCTGGGCACATGGTTAGAGGTGTATGTGGCAAAGCAGAAGAAACAGATCCCTTGATGACAATGATGGCAGTGACAGCTGTTGAACACCTTACCTTTGCCCAGTGCTGTTTGAATAACCTGATACTCTTCTTTCTGATCAAGATAATGCTTTTCCTGCTTCTCAAACCTAAACAAAGCATTGTGATTCCTGTGGTGACCCACACCTGAAAGTTAAGAAGTGCTTAAGATTCAAAAATGCTTATTGGTCAAAAGCAATGACAGAAGTCAGAGGGTCCATAAAAATCATAGAGTTTTATTAGTAAATCACACACTTTCATGGAAAGTGTGAAAATCATGGAAATTGGTATGTTAGTCCCTGACCTATTATATAGGCACACAGCACTGGGTTTTGGATAAAGGGGAAGGGTGAAGGGAAAACAGAAACTAAAGAGCTTAATTTTAAAAAGGAAAGATGAATTAAAGAGTGAAAAAGAGATCACCTGCCATCACTCCAGCACTGAGCCAGCTGAAGGAATGGCGATCCTGTGTTGGTTCAGCTGATGAGATGTCCAGGGTCTGGGGGGCATCACCTGAGCTTGTGCAGGGGGGATGTCTTTTTATGGACAGGTGTCTCTATGCCCCAAAGACAGGTTTGTCACTTTCTATGCTAATTAGTGGGGCTCTGGTAGTCACAGTCTCACCTTATAGTCCCATGTCCACTTCCTGCCAGTCATTCCTGTGGTTGTACTGTACTTCGTTGTTCTTTCTCATAGAAAGGTTTTGCCCTATCTCCACCTGGGCCCCCTTCTCCTGACAAAATTTGTTTTTTCTCACAGCATGTTAGTACCAGTGGTCCTTGGTTATTACCAGTAATTCTTGTCTGTTACCACTTGGTTGGCTTCACAGCCACCTGGTTATTGGTGTTTGAGACATAGGGTTAGGGTTAGGGTTCTGGGAATTGAGAGCTCAAAAAGTTCTCACTCTGGACCACTGCTTGCAGTGTTGTTAGAGAGTGGACTTGAATATGCAGCAGTCCCCCATAATGGAGAGCTCAAAGGGTCCCACTTTAGGCTGCTTTTGTAGGGACACAAGACAGTGGGCTTCAACTCAGAGTGATTTTTTCATCCTGGCCACAATTAGAGTCAGTAACTTCCTTTGAAGGTGCAGCAACAGAAATATTATTCCACTTGGATTGTTACTCAGGCAAGAAAAATGAATTTCCAAGGCCACTCATTAGAAATTGGGTGCTCATTAGACAATATTAGTTCCTGGGAACAGACAGCGTTTCTGACAAGCTGGAGAGGGGTTAAGTCTAGGTGCAGTTCATCAAGGCTAAGGCCTAAAGAGCATTTCCCATATCATAGTGCAGCCTGAAAGAGGGTGAGGGATGCGGCTAAAGTCAGCTTTTCTGGGTCTCTACAATTCCATACCATGCTGTCTTTGTGCTTTCCTGCCTCTTTTTCTGTGGAACAATCAGCATAAGAAATATATATGAATATAGAGTAATTATGCTTTGAAATTGTGCCTGAGGATCAGAGTGGTAAACCAGTATGAAGGTTTGGTTTTTTTCTTGTAATTACTGTGACCTGTAGTAAACATGTAATAAAAGTACTTGGTGAGGGGATGCATGTGAGTGTTGATTACCATTTCTTACCTGAAGCTGTAGATCTAGTATTCTGTTCTTAGTCAACAGCATTTCTTCCATCCATGTTTTGCTAGGTTTGTGAGCCTCTAGGCTACTAAAATGATTCTTTTGCTAGGCTGCAAATGCCAGGTTTCAGATTCCTTGTAGCTAACCTTATTTATCAGCTGTAAGCTTAAGGTAAGCCCGGAGTTGACAGAACATTAAATTTTTACAACCAAGATTGCAATGGATCATTTTGCTTAATGAAGGTATGGACCTAAAACGAGACTTGCACTTCTTTGATCCCGTGTATTTTCTCACTTTGCTGCAGCTTGGGTTTCAATATTGTGCTTTACGGACTGGGCTCAAAGCGTGATCTGTTGGAGAAGTTTCGTACCTCTTTGCTCCAGGATTCTGTTCACCTGGTGGTTAATGGATACTTCCCCAGCATCACTGTGAAATCTGTAAGTGTGGGAAAAGCTTGTGGATTTATGTAATCATCCTGTGTTACAGATACCTCTAGAGTCTTTCAGTGTAAAATGTTAAGGAGACCTGCTGCACCCTATAGCAATAGATTCTGAATGTAGAGCAGTTCCTCTCTCTTCTAATACTTTGAAGAAATGATCCCACACATTTTCCAAGGAATTTCAGTAATTTGTGTTGTTAATAGATATTTGTCATTCTAAAGCCTTGTTTTATGTCACTGTTTTGAGAAGGGGTATAATTTTTTTGTTTACGTTCACTGTTTTAGGGATTTTATGGTAATAATCAGATTATCTCTCAAAAAGCAGCCAAGGGCTCAGTTTCAGATTTTCTGCACTTCAGTGCCAGAGCCCTTCATAAGGAACCTGTTTTCTTTTTCAGATTCTCAACTCCATCACAGAGGAGGTTTTGGACCATATAGGAACCTTCCGCAGCCCCCCTGACCAACTTGAATTCATTACCAAAAGGTTTAAAGAAGGTAAAATTACTAACTTTATGCATAAAAATGTCTACTTACTGTTAAGAGAGCCTGGACATTTTCTTCCCCTATAATTTTTATACAGGCATTTACAGTTTCTTAGCATTGTAGCTAGTATACTTTCTTGCTTGTAATGTATGCAGCATATATGAGAACATGCATGCACTGGGAGTATCTGTGTACATACATGTGTAACAACCCCATGTAAGCTGTTCGCTCAGTCAGTGTTTCACAGCAGGACAGCAGTGTGTCAAACAAGCAGGTTAGAATTGGTTTCAAAAGCAAAATTAAACAGGTATTGCCTCACAAAATGGTTGCTGAATTGTTTCTGAATGTCTGTCGTACAGCTTGTATATTCATACACAGATAGCCATGGAATCTTAATTGTGCATGGCATTGGTGTTTCAGTGTTTACATTCTGTTTTTCATCATTACCTTATGAGTATTTCTGGTGGGACTAAGTGAAAAAGGCAGGGTAACAGCAGTTCCCACCTGAATGTACGTAAGTCAGTCTTGCAGTCTGCTGATCTGACTGATTTCCATTAGCAGGCAAATATGTATGAATTTGCAGAAAAACTGGTTCCAGTTCTAGAATTGTTTCTGGACTCAGGAAATGGTTGTTTATTGAATAAATCAGACAAGACTCCATTTTCTTCTTGCAGAAAAAAACCAAATCTTTATTGTATAGGTCATATTTTATAGGATTACCAGAAGGCCCTGTGCCAGATCTTACTGGTGGACAATGCATTCACACTTAGTTCATTGGTCGGTACATGGTATTTTGCATATCTATCTAACTTCTGTATTTTAGCTAGTTTACATATTTTTTTCTTCTGATTCTTATGAGACAGATCTTATTATTTATGCAGGTGCTAGTTGTTTTTCACCCAAGAATATGTTCCTGTGTTAACGAGCTCTCATACCAAGATTGTTTTCGCATGGGAACTTGCAGATTACTTAGCTTCACTTAGAAGAAATGACCTATTAATTTAACAGAGCAGGCCTGACTTTATGAGGCCTTTCTTTTATAGTTCTTCTACCTGTCTATGACAGTTGTTCCCAGGGATAAGTACAGCAGCAAGAAGCAACCTGAAAATTTTAACATCTACCATTGGCATTATTATAGAGCTAGGTCTCTAACTTTTTTTCAGAACTTGTTAAAATTTTCAATGAAGTTATGATGCTTTGGATCCAACTTTAAATAAAAAATGCATTTTTACTGTGAGGAGGAGCTTAAAGATCCTAGTCAAGTAAATCAAAAGCAGCTGAAAAAACTGCTAGTGTTCCAATCTAAAATATATATTTCAATTGCAAAAGAAACACAGCTAAAGGGGCAATTCCTGGTAGAACTGTGAGCAAGTGGAAAGTGGATTATAACAGAAAAGCTTAAACTGAAAAAAACCAACACTGTAGCTGTGATGACAGTGAATTGAGAAAAACCCTTTTAGGTGCTCAGAAACACCCAGTATAGCTTCAAACTATGTTGTACAAGGAAAGCAATATTGGAGTAATGTATATGGAGAGTGGTGGAATACACTTATGCTACACTGCACAGGGAATGGGAAACCAGCTTGTGTGAAGTTTCTTTGATTGGTTCTCTGCTGTTTTTTCTGACCTTGCAGATTCATCTTTAGAGCTTTATGTCCTCATTCATAACCTGGACAGCCAGATGTTGAGAGGAGAAAGAAGTCAGCAGATCCTTGCACAGTTATCCTCCCTGCCTAGCATTTACCTCATTGCCTCTATCGATCACATCAATGCTCCTCTCAGTGAGTTCCCCTGGGCCTGATGTAGCCAAGAGAACGATCTGTGTTCTGCTTTGGGGCTGCTAAGCATGTTTCATAAGCTCATGTATTGCTTACTATGTATTATTGTTACTTAGGATGTATTACTGTTGATGTGTAGAACAGATCTGTTGATGTATGATGTATAGTCCTGATTGGGAATGTGGCTGTGCTGAACCAAAACTGTAAAGATACTGAGAAATACCACTAAGCATAATATACAAATAGACTCCAAGCTTTTGGCACCATTTGATTTTAGGAACTTACTGAACTGGAGATTGGATGTTATGTCTGTCATTGCATCTAAACAATTTTCTTTTATCAGTCAGTTTTGTGGGCAGAATGGGAGCTTCAGACAAAGTTTATTAGTGAAGCCCTCCTGTTGAATCAGGAGGTGCAGAAAGGACCCCCTTCCTTTCTAAACTCCTTCTCAGACAGGATCTAGGTGTGGCTGGACCCAGTCTTAGCCCCAGACTTAGTTGATGGTTTATATTAAAGGATTATATAGGTGTAATTGAACTTTTGTCTCACAAAATTAAGGATGGCAAAGCAAATATACTTAAATAACTTACTTACTTACTTATATTGATTACTATTATGATGAGACCAAAAGATCCTAATCAGAATTATTTACTACACAGCACAGGTAGCTGTAACAATTAGTATAGTTCAATCTCTCTACAGCAATATTGAAGCAGTTATATTAAAGCTAGCAAAAACTATACAGGTAGAAAATGATATTACTCACCCATACCAACAACCATGGGCAGATCTCTTTAGCTCAGCCTGAAGGAGTAACCTTGAGGGGTATCCCCATTCAAGGGAGGAATTTCCACACACTCTGAGAAGGGTCTTGTTTCAGCTATTTCAGCCCCCCTCTAGGCAGAGCTTCCAGCTACAGCCAGAAATTGTTTGCACACTCCTGACTCTGGAAGGATTTACAATGTATCTATGGAAAAGGGATGCCTGCAAATGTTTTGTTGCTGAGAATTTATCTTACTGGAACTGCAGTTATCAGGGTGTATGTAATGTGAATTTCAAAAGTATGCATTGTTTCCTCAATCCTACAGCAGAACTATGTGCATTTTAATATTGCTTGTTTGACACCTTAGAAAACATAAATCTCCTGTTTTTTTCTGCTCTTTCTGTTCTCTGTGTCTAGTGTGGGATCAGGCAAAGCTGAGCCTCTATAACTGGCTTTGGTATGAGACAACCACATTTAATCCTTACGTGGAAGAAACATCTTATGAGAACTCACTTTTAATACAACAGTCTGGATCTTTGGCTTTGAGCTCCCTAATGCATGTCCTGCACAGCCTCACTCTCAATGCCAGGTAAGATAGTGTTACACTTCACAGTAGCACTTACCAAGGACTGACTTACAGTCCTTGCAATCTGTGTTTTCTGATAATAGTGTTCCAGACCAAGATGGTAGGACCTGGGTTCCAGCTGATTGGTTACTTTAAATGATCAGCATTTGGATAGCCAGCCTTGTCCAGTGATGAGAATCACAACCAGGTCTTTGTGCATAAAGCAAAATTAGTTAATATTTTCTAATTGTGGGAGTTTTGGGCTGTTTTTAAATTATTATTGTTTTGATTTTCCCCTTTCCTCCTTTCACTTAGAGGGATATTCAGACTGCTTGCTCAGCACCAGCTGGAGAAAAAGGACAATCCATCTTATCCAGGTAAGTACCCACCTTTTCTCATTTGTTTGGAGTGTTGCTGTTTACAGCAGCCCTGGGTTTTGGTATGCAGGTTACACATCCAGCAACAGAAGTGCTCAAAGTTGGCTCAGTGACGCTCACTGTCTTTCTAGTGGCACTGTGTCAGAATCAGACAGGAAATCAATAGACTGGCTGTTTCTGAAGGACTGCCTTTTACATGCTTAGACATGGCTGAGACCATTGATGGGGGACTGTGGAGTAAAAAAAATTAAAATGAAGACTGAATTTGTATAACTTGCACTTAAATGTCCTATATAAATGGCTTCTGGCGTACCAGTGCTTTCTAGGGTACACGTGGAATATTCTGTCACTGTCTGTAATAGGTGTTGCAGTGGATATGAATAACATTTTAATGGTAAAGAAAGCAAGATAGAGGAGTTGGAAATTAAGAGAAATTAACGATTGTAGAAAGTGCATTTAAAGTGCTATTAAAATTCTATTGGGCAGCAGGGTGACTCAAATGTTAACTCAGCTGTTTTCCATTAATTACTGAAGTATTACCTTAGCTGTATACTTCCAAGAGGTGATGATACTGTAGCCACTCTGGTCTAAGCCAAAGCAAGATTTTCAGGTGGACATGTGGTGTTAGACCTGGAAAAATCTGAAAATCTTACTACTTCAGTTTCTTATTCTTGCCTTTTTCTGTCTCCAGGCATGTCTTTCCAAGACTTTTACCAGCAGTGTCGGGAGGCTTTCCTTGTGAACAGTGACTTGACACTCAGGGCACAGCTGACAGAATTCAGGGACCACAAGCTGATCCGGACCAAGCGGGTGAGTCCAGAGAAGAATTCTATTCAGCCACTTTGAACAAAAAGGATGCTTACTTGCTGTATTGTTTTAGGCACGTAGGAACTGGCAAGGGACTGAAATTCTGTAATTGCAGCTATTTCCATGCCTCCAATTTGTCAACACCCTTTACATGGATAGAGGATTATAGAAACGCAGTGTGCTTTGGTTATTCAGCAACCTACATCTTCTTTTTGAAGGCTGTGAGAAGTAGCAGACTATGGAACCTGCCAGTCTGCTTCCAATAGTATTGCCTGTATTTCTATAAGGAAGGAATGCAGACTTGTCGTAATAATGAGGCAATATAGCAGTACAAGATATAGGAACACAGTGTTGAGAGCTTTGTAGTGTCAGACAAGCATAACCCACCAGCAGATTTCTCATTTAGTGACTTTTCTCGGTATTTGTGCATTTCCTGTGTTGCTCCAGTGAAATATTCCAGGTTTTCAGTAATGTATTTGTTCAGAATGCTGTCTAGCTCTAATCCAGACTGCAGATAAATGCTAGCATTGCAGTGCTGTCTAGTGGCTTGCCTGGCACTGGACGCTGATGTTAACAATGTCTGTGCATGTCTGTTCTCAGGGAGCTGATGGTGTGGAATACTTACTAATTCCTGTCGATGACAGTACCTTGACTGACTTCTTAGAGAAAGAGAATGAAGATGTGTAACATCTGTGTCCTCAGTGTCTACAGCAACTACTCTCAGTGGCTGCTGGAGAGGGGCCTATGCTCAGATCTCTTTATCCAGACTCACAGCTGCTGGCACTGATAAGTAATAATTCTAATGAATCTTGCTCATTGTTCAACTACCTCAGGTAGTTTGGAATGATGACTTCTGTAAGCAAGGCCTCTCTTGCGCTCTAGTTGGATTTGTCTGCTTTGTCTCTTAGCTCAGACAATGCCTTCTTCCTATCTGTGCATGCAACCTCACAGCCAGAAAAACAAACTTGGTGAGATTGTGCCTTCTGCTCTCTACCTCAGTAGACTTGAAGGTTTTATTGGAGCAATTTACTTGGGAAGTGCAAATCACAAGATGGTCAAGAGCTTTAGTTTGTACTAGTGGTGCAAATTTTCTCAACTGAGTGCTATCCAGTACTCCTCTACCATTTAGACAAAACTAGCTTCCAGTATATGAAGACAAGACTTACAATGCTACAAGACCTGCCTTGACTGCATAAGGAAAGGAGAATGTGAGTGTGTTTGGGATGCTGCAGGTAACTTAGTAAATTCTGGCAATAAAACTGAAGGACTTGTCCCAAACCAACATCCTTTTATAAGATGTAGATAATCAAATCAAATTATGATGGACTCATGTTATTGCCTGCTACTTTCCAAGGTGCAATCCAGGACTATGAGGGGGCTGTGAAGCTTTTTTGTTTATTTTTTTAAAGCTTGATTGTATATTTATATTTTTTACATCAGGAGTGCCCACTGATCCTGGAGGAGGCCTTAAGTGCCACTTAGAAGCTCTCCCTTTTTTTAAGCTCTTAGAGGTTGGGAGACGGCTGAAGTATGACATCTTCAATTCTTTTTTTCTCAGTTATGTGGGAGGAAGCTGTATAGTTCCATCATCTGTAGTCTGCCAGCCAGACTTCAGGGACTCTCTATGCCTAATATTTGGTAGCTGTCTTACAGCTCATTGTTGTAATAGTTCAAATCAATCAAATAAAGTACTTTATTAATTTTCATTAGTTTGTCTCGTCTTTCACAATCTTTTTATGTTACAGGAAGACAGAAATCCTTGTGGCAGTTGTGCAAAAGCCTCATTTTCATTATTATGTCAAATATCCATGCAGAAGATTTCAAACTACTGAGTAGAAATATTTTACATTGTTTCTTACGTCAAAATCAAGAATCACTTGCCTGCCTTTTAATACCAGTATATAGCTTCTGAAGAGAACCAAAGCATCCCATGGAGCAATAGTACCTTATCTGCCCCTCACTGACAGAAGCAAGAGAGATGTATGGCCTGACTTTTGTATTAGAGCATCTACCTACCCCACTGTCAACTTGATTCTTCATACAGGTCCTTTCCCTTTACTTGGGATAGAAGAAATTCCTTCTCACTTCTCAGCATATTGAGGTGCCTTCATGGTATTGGTAAGAATGATGACCTTTTTATAGCCTGGTAGCTTCACATAAACCAATCATCTCTTTCCACTTAAATACATTTAAGTGGAACATGACATGCAATTATTAAATGGAGACATTGCTTGATGAGCTACTTTTATTAACTTCAAAGGATAGAGCTAACATCTTTACAAATTTCTAATGAAATATATTTGCCATCCAGAGATGGTAGGGTATACAGCTGTGAGATTTTATTTTTTCTTAAAAAAAATGCCAACAGAAAAAACTAGCTTGGAAAATTAAACTCATTATCAGTGGTGAAAATACTACTTGTTCAGTTTTAGTAATCCTGTAATTAAAAGCCACAGTTACAGAAACTGTTTTTAAAAGAAAATAACAAAGGCACATGAATTTACAGCTTTGTTAAGGAATTGAGTTTCAACCTTACAAAGCTTTTTTGAATTGAGAATCTCTCTTTTGAAAATCCGTAAAGCTGCATTAGTGGTAGATTGTGCAATTGAATACTAGTACGAACAACTTGCTTTGTGTTCTGTGTTTATTTGCATCTGAGTGGCGCCTTAGTACAACTGTTAATGCAAACAGTTGATCTCCATCCTTTCATTAACTACTATTTCTGAAATTTATTAGGTAAAATATCAGTGGCTTGCACTGACATGATTTGACATAACTGTAGCAGAGTAGGACTGCTGCCTAAGCTTAAATCTGGAGGTAAGTCAGGTTTTATATATTTTGCCCAAATCAATCCTGGAGTATCACGATTATCAACTGTATCTAATAACCTTAAGCAGTAACAGTAAATTTTTCCAAGTACAGTCCAGTAATCAAGTAAATTAACCTTTGGTATTCCAAAACAAACATTTATTTTTCTGACATGACAAAATATACCCCAGTCTTTGAGGGACCATATAGTACAAGCATTCTGTACTGGACCAATTGAAAGCACCTTCATTAAGCTCTACAATTGCATAGGTCTCTGCGCAAGATAACACTATTGACTGAATTTTCTCTCTCCAATTTTTCCCCCTATGCCACCTGGAGAGGATCTCTGTCTTTCTCAGACACAATGATGTTGATTTTGTTCTGTAGGTGGATGGTGAGTGCGTCACGCAGCTCTGACAGGAAGCCTCGCTCAGTGTTACTGTGCTCGCACAGAATAACACTTATCCCATTGGCAACTGCATCCAGCACATCATGGTGGGACATCTCTCCTGCCATTTTGAGAAAGAAGTGTCATGGAGATCACAAATGGTACAGTTCAGGTAACCAGGTCTGCAATGTATGGAGCATTTCAGCTAAAAGCCATGGTGATGTAATGGAATATAGGCCATAAGCAGAAATGCAACACCACCTGCTCAGTAGGAAAGTGGAACATTCCTGCTCCAGGGTCCTTTGAAAGACTCAGCTGATAGCCCTGTATGCAGCTGAGTCAAACCACAGAAATTCCTTGCCATCTTTGAGTAGTTGTAAATTCTGCCAATTTGGACAGAAAATAAAAATGCTCAGAGTGGTCTGGAAGAGGATGCAGGAAAGCAGTTCTAGGTCAGCTCTGCAGGGCTACACATAAGGGGGAGAAGGGGCAGCAATTAATTCCTATAGAATGCAAGTCAGCCTTCACATTGCTGAGCCATGGGGAATAGCTGTCCCAGTGCTGGAATAGAGAATAATGGACTAAGTGTCCCTTTAGCTAGACACACCTTCCTTTCTTTGGAAGGTTCTGTAGACTACATTATATTCTGTTTTGCATTAGGGAATTCTGTAGGGAATAGAGGAAATATATGTTGCCAAAGGAGAAATACACTGAAAGTTGGAACTCACTGCCATCAGCACTGATTTTTTTGTTGAAATAAATCCTGTAAAGCAATGTTATAATTCAAGTATCTTTCACTGCCCCACACTGCCAAGTGATTCACGTTAGTTTCTACTTTAATGTTAGTTTGTCATTCCAATAACTAACTAATTGTTTCTCAATTATAGATAACAGGTCAAATTCTTTGTGGTCAAATTTTTCAACAGCCAGTCAACCCTCTTATTTTTTACTGGGGTTTGTTTTTTTCTCTAATGACTATTTTTACAAAAATAATGAAACAGCAGTCTATTACCTGTGAGATAGAGGTCAGCTTCTGTTCCCTTCAGGACACTGCTCCCAGAACCAGCACACAGAGCAACTTTCTTCACTGGTGATTCTGCAGGATACAATGTGCCACAGTTAAACTCCTTCCCCCTTGTTGAGCCCTCATGTGTGTATTGCTAGGAATTGTTTCAATTAAGTACTACCTTGATTTTAGTCAATGTAAATTTGTTGGAGGAAGAGACACATCTGTCAGTGTGCAAGAGTCATGGGCCTATAACGCCTCTGACAATACAGCAAAATCCTCTGTGATAGGTAGATTTTTTCCAAGGGGCAGGAAACTTTGCAGAAAACTCTAGCACAGAGGCTGGCTACTGGTGACCTTTCTCCTTGTGAGGTGTTAGTTAGGTTGCTGAAGTCTTTAATAGGCCACTACTCTTTGCAGGACTCTTGTGTTCCACCACCATAGTTTTCAAACTAATGATGCCACTAAGGCAGCACTTGGCCTCTGAGATATAGTGGTTCCTAACTTTCAGCTCTCAGAAGGCCAGTCTTAAGCTGAAAGCTGCTCCATGCCAATAAAAATTGTCCATTTGCTGTGATTGCTAATTCCAAGTTATTACATATATGACAGTGACATGAATTTTTCATATATATTACATTCACTAAGGAGAGGGGACACACAACACAGGGAGTTTTCAAAATCTGTTAAGGTTTTACAGTATGTTGCCTTGCAATTACTGTTGATTTAAGTGGAGTCACACCACACCATAAAAAGGGCTTTGAAGTAGTTTGGGGATTTTTCAGTGCAATTGTCAGTCTGATAAGATTTCTGCCTCCTAAATTACAAAGAGCTCTCAGCAAATTTACTCTCACAAATTCTACCAGCTGTGGTCCTTGGACTTTAGGATAGGTAGCTCGGATAAGAGGATGTTTACTCCACATCTTACTAATGACCACACTGAGCTAGTTCACGTTCCTTCTGTGTTCATAATGATACCATAAAGTGTCTTAAAGTGCTCTGAATTTTAACATTCAGTCACAAAAGGGATCATACAATCAAACAGTACACCTTTGTGCCTGATATCCTGGGTAGGGAAAAAATTTAGTCTTTATACAAATTACAAAAAATTGTGTCTTTCATTCAACTTGTACTGTCCTTCTTCACCACATCAACCAGCATAATACAGAATCCCATTAAAATACAGGTGAGATTCTTTTCATATGACTGTAAATTCTAAGAAGCTGTTTCTTAACAGCGCTTCCTAGTTCTTGGAAGTGAAGCTGGTGAAGACAGCAGTGTTTCCCACTGTCATGCACACACTCCTGCTCCCTGTGTTCCTGCAGTGGCAGCCCTAGCAGGCAGTCTGGCTCGCAGGCCCATTTACCGAGTGTCCTGCCTGCTCCCACGGCCACGCGGACGTGGGGGAGCTGCAGGTGCCCTTTGATACGCTCGACTATGTCTGACAAGGAGACCGGCTCGCTCAGGGTGCACAGGCGTCCCATTCCAGTGTGGGGAAGAAGAGGCTGAAAAAAAATTAAAATTACTGTGAGAAAGCTGACTCCAGATGCTTGCATTGTTGACCACACGGTAACAGGATGAGTATATTGGGCTTGCAGGAACAAGACTGAATTTTACAAAGATGTGATGTTCTTAAATGTAACATATGAACTACACCAGCTATTGGAACTGATTTAAGAATTAGTACAGGCCACACAGATAGTTTCATTCCTTTGAAGCCGAAGCTTTTGAAGCTTCAACTTCAAATTCCCATATGCCAGTATTTCAGAGCACTGAGGTAGCACTGGAAAGCTGTGATGCCACTGTGATGCATTTCAGTGTTTAAGGTACTCAGCTCACATAAGTAATACATTCACAGGAAGTAATTTTGTAATTTTGTTACCTTCTGTAGTAAGAGAATCTGAGTCTTGTGATAAAGAAGGCTGTTCTGGGACAATAATGCCACCACCTCCAGCAGTGCTTTCTGAGAGCAGTTCAGACTGACTCGTGTTTGTTCCTCACCTTCAACCCTGAGGAAAGACATGCCTGGTGCTTGTTAAGAAGCTAGATAAAATTGCAGCATTGTAATTATTATATTACAGCATTATAATTATTAATTTTGGCATTATAATTATTATTATTTTATTCCAGTGTCTGTCCTACTGCTGAGAAAGGAAAAAAAGGTAGCATTGTAATTTCAAGGCTAGACTTGTCTTGGAAGAAACAAATATGGGAATTTAACTCAACTGTCCCCATCAAATTTCCTGTTAATACTTCTTTAACACCCCTAATCTGTGTGATGTTAGACTTGATTTGCTATTACCATTTAGCATGACATAGATTGCCCAGAAAGGGACAATTATTCCTTAAGTTTCTTGTTCTGTTGCTGGAAAATACAGCAGCAATGCACAGAGGAACAAAATTATTAGAACAGTAAAATACAATTACAGCAACTTATTGTTTCAAACAACAGGAAGAATACAACATTAGAGAGTGGAGCAGATACCTGACTGGGAGAGTAGTGAGACAAGAGATCTCTGGGATGTCTTTGATTTTGGACAGCACTGCATCCAGATGCTCAGCATCTGCACAGAATTCTACCCGGTGAGTGCCCTCAGCTGGAGAGCTTGGTGCAGTTGATGGATGTAGTGGGACAGAAGTACAGGTGCCTGAGAAAACAATGCAAGATTGCTGGTTTATAAAGCAGGGTCAAATCCTTTTTTCCTGACCAGAACTGAGGGCTTTTCATTCTGTCTCCATTAGGCACAGTCTATTTTAAATCCAAAGAAGCTGACAGATATGTATTATTTGCCATTCTTAATGCCATCAGTTTTACCCTAAGGATTGTACAAAACCAAAAAAGAATTCCTAGTTTATATGACAGGCTGGAAAAGACACAGCTATTGTAACTTTTGAGCCATAATACAGGATAAAAATCGAAAATAATTTCACATCATTTAAATACTTTGCAAACATTGAGATATTGTACTTTATAAATTAAAAGTGGTGATTTAAAGTCAGTGGTATCATTTCAACCACAGTGGACAGTAAATATGTTCCACCAGTTCCAGATACATCCAATAGTAGATAGAGTCTTGCATCTGAAAATATCCTCTTGCATTTGTTATCTGGTATATATCACCAAGATAAATGTCCTAAAATGTATTTAAAGGTTACAGTACCATAAAAACATGAGGAAAAATAAAACCAGTCCTCAAATCACACCTGTAAAAGCTGGAAGGCAAATGATTAAAGATCCCATCTAAAACAACATATATTTTTTTTAATAATTTTAATTTGTTTGTTCTTAACAGAACCTCACCGAGTCCCTTTGTTAGCCAGTTATTAACTCCATGAGGTATGGCATCGTACGCCGTATGCGGAGAATAAATCCCGATTCTGTTCTCCAAGGCTCGGACCACCAGCCGTTCCTTCCATGTTTTCCACGTTACTCGCTTGAGTGGTGCGAATATAGGAGGGTGGTAAGAAAGAACGAGGTCTGCTTTCTTCTGCACTGCCTCTTCCATCACCTCCTCAGTGAGGTCGTTAGTGAGGAAAAGCGTGTTCACAGTGTGGGGAGGACTTGGTTCCACCAGTAATCCCACATTGTCCCAGCTTTCAGCCAGAGCGGGGGATGCGAAGTCATTCAGGGCAGAAACGAGCTCCCGGAGGTTCATGAGGGCGCGTACAGGCGGGCGGCCCAAGGCACGGACGCGGTGGAGAGGCGGGCGGAGCAGCGGCATGCGGGGACCTGTGCGGGGCAAACACAGGCCGCCGTGAGCCTCGGGAACCCACCGCCCAAACAGCAGCCACGGCCGCTCGGGCTGCGGACGCCCACCCCCGGCACCACCCGGTACCGAGCGCTCTCCCCACCCCGGGCTCCCGCGGTCCCGCCCCACGCTGCCCTGCACCAAACGCGGGGAGCTCAAGCTCCATCGCCTTTCCCGCGGCACATCCGACACGCAGAGCCCGGCCCCACAGGCATTCGCGCCTCGGCGGCCTCGGGGCACAGCCGAGCCGGCACCACGCTCACCTCCCGCCAGAACAGGGCCGACGCTGCGGGGCGGGACCTGCGCTCGGCCCCGCCGCTTCCGCCGCGCTCAGCGGCGCCCGTCACTCCGTAACGCCGGGAGTGAGCTGGGGCCCGCGGGAGAGCAGCCGCTTTCTCCCCGGCGGGGGCTGGGTCTCCATCAGCTCCGGCAGGTTAAGGCATTCTCCGAGCGAGGTGGGCGGGTGGGCGGTGCTGCCGGGCAGGGGCTTGCCGGTGGAGGAGCCCGCCGGTGGAGGAGCGCGGCGTTTCGGTGGCGGTACCTGGGGCACGGAGGGAGCGGTAGCTCCGGCTGCCGTGGGTGAGGGGGAGCCGGGGGCAGGTGGGGACTCGGGGCCGGGGCTGCACCGGCGAGGGCGGGTGTATAGAGGAGCCATTACCGCGTAAATCTTTCGGCTTCTACACAGCCGCGGTTTTATTGCCGGCATTCTAAACACTTTATTTGAAAGTATTACAAAGATTCAAAAAGTCTGATTGGGTGTAGGTACCTGTCTGTTGCAGGCACTCACAGCTGTCACGAGTTGGCCCCAAATCACACTTCTGTTAGGTACTGGCCTGTGGCTGTTACCTGTGAATTTCTGCCATCTACTATTCTGCCAGCTGCCATAATATTTGCAAAAACTGATTGCTTAGCATAAATTCTCATCCTAGGAAAGAGTGGGTTTTTCCCTCTTCCCAGTTCTCTAAGTGGTCTTGTTCTAGTCATTTTTCATTCTTTATATGCTGTGTAGTTGCTTAATGCAAAAATTTAGCCACAGTCACTGGAATGGCACCGCAGAACTGTGTGGTGTAAAAGCATGTAACCAACAAATATTTTAGAATCAAAAACAAATGGGGCTTGGCAGGAAAAAGCCCAACAAGCTTATTATGTTATGTTTACAGGAAATCGCTGTATAGAAGGCTACCTCAGATTTTGATAAGCAGGCATGGTAAGAATAAAAGCACATTTTATATGGTTTCTGAAATGGTCATCTTTTGGAAAGTGAATAGCTGCTCTCCATCTCAAAGGATTGCACGTTTTACTCTGATGCTGTGAGGAATTTGTCATGAAAAGTTCAGGGTTTTCATTTCAAACTTATAAAAAGATACTGTGACAAGGAAAAGAGGTTGATTTACATCAGTCTAAAACCTAATTATGCTTTCACTTTAGAGATCTCAGATTTTAATGCTACTTTGGCAAGTATTTGATAATCTAGTTTGGTTTCTTTTGCCACAGAAGCATTAGTGTATTTGCAAGAACATACCTCTGCTTCAGCATATGTAAACCTCTGCGCTCATGGTCTTTTAAAAGTTTAGCAATTCGAGAAATAGAGATAAGACTATATATGTCTTAAACTGATTATACACCTTCTATAGCATCTTCATGAACATTGTGGACAGCTGTCTTTTTTACTTCTATACTTCTGGAGCAGTATGCCAGTATCACCATGATGCTGATTTTTATTAGTTTTACTGCAGGGTTATCCCCACAGTAATTGTTTTTGCATAGTTTAGCACTTTCCATAGAAGCACTGTTATATATATGGCCTGTAGAGATAAATTTGCTTAGGTCACTGGGTAACTGATTTTAAATTTTATGAAGGTAACTTATAAATTCTTAAGAAGAGTAAGTTAATTTGTAGATTTATTGTCTGTGAAGGCACATTATATATGCTGGAATTCAGAACTAGCCTTATTAATCAAAAGTTTGCAGCCATTAGTTGCTCCTCTAGTTGTAAAGCAGTGAGGTGTGTGTACCATCCAAAATAGATACAATCTTGATTCTTCACCTTTACTTTCAAGTGACTGAGTAGGTGCTGTTTGCAAATGAATAATGTATTTCTGGAGTGTAACAGCATGCAAAAGCTACTGCATTACCATGGCAAACTTGATTTGTCCTGAAACTAAATGAAACTGAGTACTTTCTGGTGATTTTACTGGAAATGCAGATTGGTTGTGACAGTAGCCTTTCTTATGGCCAAATGTTGAAACAGTGGTTATATGCAGTGCAAACTTGCTTATGTTCTTGATGGGGCTGGGAAATAAAACAGTGTCTGTTAGTATTTTATTGCTGATTTAATTATTTTCTGCATTTTGCTCAGGCTGTCACGCTGCATACTGATGTGGGGGATATTAAAATTGAACTATTCTGTGAGCGTACTCCAAAGACTTGTGAAGTAAGTCATGTACCAGGAGTAGGATTGCCTAGTGGTGAAACAAAGCAGTAGAAATAGGTGAAGTGGCTTTTGCAATTTCACCTTTTCATGTAGTGGAGTATCAACACTTTAAGCTGGTGCAGTGTCTGTTCCACTCATGGAACTTGTGCACTCTGTCATACTGCCTGGAGTTTCATGCCTGTTTCTCACTTGATAAGGTTTAATTAAGGGGTGCTTCTTTTGAAGTTCCAGCATCTCCCAAAGTGTGCTTTGCTTTTCAGGGGAAATACAGCACCTAGTGTGGGATTCCCAAATTTCTGTGGGTTTACTCATACCCTCACAAACTTGATTTTAGTTTGAAAGAGTGAGACTCACTCACAGTTTGTCAGGGAGTCCAGTTTTGAATTTTTGCAATAAACTGAATTGAAGTAAATTTCATTTATTTTAATGAAAAAGCTGAGGCATTAAGTTATTGATTACAAAATTACACGTGCCAAATAAAATTGTTGAATGGGCATGATACTTGAGAGCATGTCTTAGGCTTCTTGTTTGTTCCTCAAGTCAGACAGCCTTGCACTGAAAGCTTTTTCTTTGTGTGTGACACTATCAAAGGAGTTTATTAGCTATGATTTGTTTATGACTACTCTGCAGCACTACTCTGTGGAATTCGCATGGTCACAAAGCTAAGCAGAGGTAAAAGCATTGGTCTTGCCAATGCTGTCATTTTAGTAAGATAATACAATTTTTCAGTTGTTTGTTAATACGGTTTGTTTGATTTTTGTAGAATTTCCTGGCTCTTTGTGCTAGTAACTACTACAATGGATGCGTATTTCACCGAAATATAAAGGGCTTCATGGTTCAGACAGGGGATCCATTAGGTAAATTCTTCTGTCTGGGTCTTTCTTTGCAAAAAATGTACATAAAAATAAAATGTAAGGAAATAAAAAGCAATTATGAGTATTAAAACCAAAATGTAAGTAAAGAAAAAATAAAAGAGTTATTGTATTATTGATAAGAGTTTTTTATGAAATTATTTTTTGTGGTGGGCTTCCAGAAGTGCAGGCATTACCACAGTTTTAAGTAATCATGCATTCTACCAACTTGAGTTTTACCAGCTGTTTCCACTAAATATGATGGTTCTGTTGACTAAATTAGAAGCAGATGCTACTGTGCTTTGTGTGGTTTCTGCCTGAAGGGCTGAGTGTAAAGCATTTGGGGAAGATGTCCCAGACAGTGTCAGCTTTTGGGAGAAAAGCTGATTCAGCTGTGTCTGTTCATGCTCATACTGAATTTAATTTGAGGATATGTCAGTGTTTTGTTCTGCTGCTTAATAGGTTCCTTATATAGAGTTATGTCTTAGTGCAGTGTCAAGAGCCTGCTTTAAACTAATTGCAGGCTGTCTAGGGTCTTTGTTGTAAAATGCTGTAACAGAACATAATTTCTGGATTTTTCAGTCTGAAAATCCAGTATTTTCTACTGTGGTGCTTCTTTGTCAGGCACTGGGAAAGGAGGTAACAGCATCTGGGGCAAGAAGTTTGAAGATGAATTCAGTGAATATCTAAAGGTATTCTCAATATGCACTTGTGTTTTTATTTGAATTTTCTCTACAATAATTTCCTCTTGGTTAGAGAACAATAGCTTATTATTAAAATAGCAACAGGCATTTCTGTGCTTGGCAAGCAAGGTTTGAGGGTTTACATCATGCAAAACAGAAGTAAAAAGAATTTCTGACAGCATTTTTCATGCACTGAAGGCAAGCAGTTTATCACTGTAAGAGCCATTCTGAGGAGCTAATTGCTGATTGTGATAGAATATATTAGCAACCAAGATTTGTTCTTAATAATGGTATTGAGGAAGAGCTCTAAGTCATAGAGCACTTTGCCCAGGTTAGTTCTGGTTTCACAGATGTGTATTCATGCTGAGGTTTTTCCCCTTGTTCAGCACAGTGTCCGTGGGGTAGTTTCCATGGCAAACAATGGTCCCAACACCAATGGATCACAGTTTTTCATCACTTATGGCAAACAGCCACACCTGGACATGAAGTACACGGTGTTTGGAAAGTAAGTGATTCAACTGCATGCCTCTGTCCGAGTGTGTGAGGGATCTGAGTATTTCAGGGCACGTGCAAATGCTTGAACTTCTCGGAGTCTGTCATGGATGCTCAGTATTTCCTTTCAAAATACATTATTTGCCACATAAAATGTTTTGGTTGTCTTATTTTGTAATCATATGCTTGCAAAGTCCTTGCCTTGTGATACTTGACTGTAAAGTGTTTTGGGATGACTGTGAAGTTTAAATCATTAGAAGGCAATTTCCAGCACTTGTGTTTTTCTTACAGAGTTATTGATGGCTTGGAGACCCTGGATGAGCTGGAGAAGCTGCCTGTGAATGAGAAAACCTATCGACCTCTTAATGATGTTCGCATTAAAGACATTACAATTCATGCCAACCCTTTTGCTCTGTAGCCACAGAATGCTGCAACACATTCTTCAGAGTCTGGTCAGATAATTCCCAGATTATAGGGTTTAAAGAGCCATCAAAAAGGGTAACTTCATCTGGATCATATCTTTGCTTATTGAATGCAGAATTTTCAGGGGCTTTAACATTGTTTGGGAGTTGTCACAGAGAAGTCTTCTGCTTCAGAAGCCAGGTTTTCCAGAGTATCTTCTAGCATTTTGATTTTTAAGCATTGTTTTTTATACTTGTACAATAAAAATTTAATTTTTTTTCCTAATCTTTGGTTTTTGTACTATCTTTCTGAGTGATGTTATGTTAAAGCAATGTCCTTTGCTATAATTTCATGCTACCAGTTTTGTGAAACTTTCTCATAAAGTGTTGTCTTCCTTACTCAGTTTTCTCAAAAGAGTAAAGTAAAATATGCAATTTTTTCCCCTAGGTGAGAGCAGTGTCATAAATAGATGAAACCTTTCCCTCCCAGAAGATTAAAGAACATGTTTAGAGGAGTGTTTGCTCTCGTGCTGCTGTATTGGAATGGTAACGTCTTTACCTTGCCCAAAAGATAGATGGGAGTAATTTCTTCTGCTTCTGGCACAACACTATTGCTATGAAAGAGTAAGTATTTCTGTCCTTACATAGCTGTTGATTGAAACTAGGTAACACGGATTTACTGTAGTTTATTTTTCATCACTTTTTTACACAAAGACTAGGGGGTAAACAAAACAAAGAGCACTTTCAAAAAGGCTCATGGTGGTGGTCACATGGTGTTGAACAAAGAGCCCTTTTGGGCTTCTTCCCCCAGTCCTGTTTCCACTCAGTGAGCGTCCCTTAACAAAGCCCATTCTTATATATACACTTTGTAATCCTAGGGAGGCTCAAGGTCCAGCTGACTTGCAGTCAGCTTCAGACCATTATTTTCCATTTCGAGACTTGGCCTCTTAAAATAATGAGAATTCATTTGCAAGAGAAAGGCAAACTAGATTACTGAGGTAATGAGAAGAGTTAATCAATACCTGCTGAGGGGACAAAGTTTCTATATTCTTCATGGAATGTTGCTTTAAGCTTCCAGCCCTTGTTCCAGGATTAATATGTTTTAGTGTAATACTTAATCAGGTAAAGGATTTTATTCTTTTAGCTCTGTGCTCCTCTCTTCCAGCAGCAGTAGCAAGTAAACGGAGGTGTGCAATGGCACACTTGACTGATACTACTGCCATGCAGGAGAAAGGACATACTGGGAAATTTCCTACAGTGCAAAAGAACTGGAAATAATTAATAATTTAAAATTGTACTGAACTAGAAACAATTTCAGGTATTTTTTTCCCCCCTCCTTAAAAAGAAGGCTATTACATAGAAAGTGTGAAATGCAGCAGCACCAAGTATTTTGCTCTCTGGAGGACGCACATTAAATGTAGATACTTTTCTTTTCTTTTTTCACTTTTTTTTTTTTTCTTTCTAAATCTAATGTTGTGTATTGAAAGGAGAGTGATCCTACTGGGACAAAATTACAAACAAACTTTTCAAAATTGTATTCTGTCCGTTTTCGTGGACTTGGTCTAAGCTGGAGAGCAGCGGGCAAAAAGAAAATAATGGGGCATGATCCTTGAACAGTGACAGACTTGTAGATATGGTGAGCCGATTCCAGAGGACCACTAACCATGTCCAGGGCAGTACAGAGGCGATTAACAGCCCCCTCAGCAGGGTGAGAAATTCCCATTTCGCAATTCGGAGTCCCCTGCCGCCCCCCCCACCACCGCCCGCCCCCCTCAGGCCGCCATGTTGTCTGCTGTGCCTCCGCGGGCGGGCAGAAAATGGCCTCGGCCGCTGTGGCGGGGCCGGAGCCTTTCCTGGAGCCCCTGCTCGGGCCAATCACGGAGCCTTTTGCCGGGGCCGGGATTCGGTGTCCCCGGGGATCCGGGCCCGGCCCCATGTCGCCCTCGCTCCGCCTGCCCGGGGCGTCCCGGGGCCGGCAGCGGCTGCCGCCCTCCGGCCTGAGGCGCTGCAGTCGGCTTGGAGCTGAAAAGTCGGCTTGGGTAGTGAGTTAGTTCGCTTTTCCTCATGGGGCAGCCTAACTGCGAGATAACCCGAGATTTATTGTCTCCCACAGAAAAACCTTCACTGAAATCTTGAAAAGCCCCCTGGGCAATACTTGCCCTTGTTAAGCACACAGAAGCCTTTCTTCTTCCTAGGATAATGCAGCACTGGGGGCCTGAGTAGCTTGGCAGGAGCCCCACACTATGTCTTTAAAAGCCTTTTTTTAAGAAGAAGGTTACAGGTTTAAATTCCCCTGTCAAAAATAATTAACTTGAAAAAAGCTCTTGAATGAAAAAATAACTTGGAAGAAGGAGCAGAGAAAAAAAGCCAAAAACTAGGATGCTGAGGAAAACCACAATCATTATAGTTTAAATTTGATAATTAATGGCTTTGAAAATTGTTTGTCTGTGGATTGTAATTCAAAGAGTAAAATATCTTTGTTATACTTGGGGAATTTCAGTCAAACTAAGGGTCCTGACAGGGATAAAAGAAAAAGACCACTTTGCAGAAGGTGCGACAAGGCTAATAATGGAAAAGGGACACCATTCAGAAGTGCGCTGGAGAAAAAGTGCTGCAACCATCTTTCTGAAACTCCTGGCAGGTAAAAAATTTCTGGACTTCTGGTATCAGCAGGCATGTTTTAAGATTTTATTATTCTGATCAAGTCATGTGATACCAGATTACTTTTTGAGTTGAAGGTATTTCAAGAAAGATGGCTTGGAGCTTAAAACAAAAAGCTGCCTTCATAGGGGCACTAGGATGATTCTAGTTACATTTACTGGATCTTTTTGGGGTTTTTTTTGGGTTTGGTTTTTTTTTTTTTTTGTAGTAATGATTCAGAAACCAATTCTGTGAATGAACGAGGCCGTCGTCAGTGACAGTTTTGAAGTCTGCAGTCACAAGTCCAAGGAAGGATGTGACACTGGGCATCCTAGTAGCCAGGGATCTGGTCTAATGTCACAGCTGGTGGCAAAAGGAAATACAAGACACTTTATAATACATGTCATCCTAAACCTCTACAGGTGATAGGACCAATTTTAATTTAGTTTTAGGTAGATTCTCATCCATCAGTAATAACTGAGTGACAGGTCTGGGGAATTCTGTGGATAATACAAGTTTATTCCTTTGGCTCATATTAGTAGCTGACTGGTTTTTTTGTTAGGATTGCATTTCCTTCAGTGAAAATGTAGAGTTTGTACATATGCTTGTGATGCTACAGAACATGGTCCTGCTATTTGTTCACTGAGTATATTTGAGCAGATTAATGAACAATAACCATTAACTGGAGTACTTGAAATACAGGGATCACTTTCATGCCTTCAAAATTTATAATATGACAAGCATTTTCTTAACCCCTACTCTAAAATCCAAAGACAAGCTTTTAAACTAGATTTTGATTAAGTGTCACTGAAATAGGAAGGGGGTCATGCCAGACTGACTTTTTCAAGTATCAGTGAGAAATTTGTAGAATTAAATATGGATGATGGCTTCCCCCTAGCAGGGTGGGTTTTCTGATTTTTGTTACACTGTTTAAAAACCTGAAGATTGGAGTTAAATTAAGATCTTAAGCCAAGACAGCATAAATCAAATGTGTATCTTTTATGATTTAAAAAAAAATAGCTTCTTGCCAAAAATTCATACAAGTTATTTAATCTTGATTGCCTATTTTAATTTGGACACAACACTGTTTAAAAATACCTATGTGTGTGTGTATATATATATATATAAAAGATAATTATTAAATCCCTTTAAGAAAAAAAAATATAAAATCATGAAGTAAAATTCAGTGAACTAATCTTTTAAAGGAAAAATAATTGTAAATTTTTGTTGCTTTCCTACTTTGAGTATCTCGCCTGAAAATCTGTTCCTTGCCATGTTTTTCTCCTGTAACACAAACTATATGGATTTCCAGGGGCTGTTTGTGGCCTGGTGTGTATCTGAATGCCTGAGTAGCTCCCTGATGAATGAATTGTTTTTCTGACCTGAATTCACGTGAGTTTATTGACTGGCTGCACGGTCTTGGTGCTGTTCCAGAAGAGCTATAGAAGGAAAAGATGCAAGAATGCAGAGGGTGATCTGTCTGTCAGAGATGTACTAAGTGCAAGATGCACAGAGTATTTTTCAGACTTTATTATTACAAACTTTTTAGATAGATGTGATGGGTTGACCCTTGCTGGGTGATAGATGCCCACCAAACCACACCCACTCTGTCACTGCTCTCCGCAGCTGGACTGGGGAGAAAAAAAATGTAACAAAAGGTTCACAAATTGAGATCAGGGAGAGATCCTCCCCCAATACCATCACAGGCAAAACAGACTCGACCTGGGGATATTAACTGCATTTATTACCAGTTGAAATCAGAGCAGGATACTGAAAAGTAAAATCGAGCATCATCCTTCCCTCCCTCCCTCCCTCCTTCCCAGGCGGCACAGGGAGGCAGGGAATGGGAGCACATTCAGTTTATCACAAGTTATTTCTGTCCCTGCTCAGGGAGAAGAGTCCATTCCTGGCTCCAGCGTGGGGTCCCTTCCACAGGAGACAGTTCTCCATGAACTTGTCCAGCAGAGGTCCCTTTCCGTGGGGTGCGGTCTTCAGACACAGCCTGTTCCAGTGGGTTCCCCTTGGGATCACAAGTCTGCCAGGAAACCTGCTCCAGTGGGTTCCTCTCTACAGCTCCGCAGGTCCCTACCTGCTGCAGCACAGGCTGCCCCTGGCGTCACAGCCTTCTTTCAGGCATCCAGTATGGTGTCCTCCACAGGCTGCAGGGGCACAGCTGCCTCACCATGGGCTGCAGGGGAATCTTGGCTCCTGCACCTGGGGCACCTCCTGCCCTTCCTTCTCTACTGACCTTGGCTGTGCCTCTCGTTCTCTTCCTCATATTCTCATCATTCTCTGAGTGCAATTACATCTCTGCCGTAACTTTTTTCCTTCTTAAGTATGTTACCACAGAGTATTAGCACCATCTCTGCTTGGCCAAGCCTTGGCCACTGACACAGCTGTCCTGCAGCTGGCTGTGTCCTAGAGTGAGCTGGCACTGCCTCTGTCAGACACGGGCGAGACTTCTGGCAGCATCTCTCAGAAACCCACACTCTAAGTCCCTCCAGCTACCAAAACTTGGCCACACAAAACCAATACAGTAAGTGCTTTTAATGCAAGATCTGAGGGAGCTTTTAGAAGACTTTTATTTTTCTTTTTTCTTTGGGGGTGGGGATTGTTATTCTGTAGAACTTGCATTTTTTAAATTTT